AAAGATCCAAGTCCAGAAAATTCTACAAACCTATGATGTAGGCATTTTCACAATTATGAAAGCTAACATTTCGGATAACAAACTGAAGTACTACCAATTCCCAGGTTACACCCTGTACCTTCTACCTAAATACCGACAAGTTGCAAGTGGAATTCTAACTGGAGTAAAAGAAGGTCTCACCTCATACTACGATCTAATCAAGAGTATGGGCTCGACACAGAACAAATGTGAAATAATCAGATTCAATGTTTGGAAATGTCAAAATCACTTCAAGATATATGCAGTCTATGATCCGCCCCAGAATTGTCCCAACTTGATTATCTGAACATCACACACAAAACTGTGGTATTAGGAGACTTCAACGCCCTTTCCACCAGATGGGGCTACAAGGATACAAACATAGCTGGAAAGGAAATTGAAGACATGCTAAACAGCAACCCTCTGGAACTTATTTACAGCAATGAGGATCCGGCTACATATTTGCACTACAATGGAACCAGAACAACTCCTGATTTACTCTTGGCTTCAAGCGACATCAGTGAGCATACACGCCGCAAAATAATTGACGATCCTGGTTCTGGTCACAAACCAGTCATTTCTAGTATTACCATCGGCAGCAAAAGCATGGCAATGAAAGTGCCAACTAAGCTATCATGGAACTTCAAGAAGGCTGACTGGTCTAGATTCACAAACCTTTTAGAGAATGAACTTCACAAATATCCCCTCAACTTCAACCAACATCCTGACAAACTTTGCAATGATATCGCGAATATTATGATCCGATATGCAAAAGAAAACTATTCCCTGAGGCAAGACTAAACACTATTGCGTGTTTTGGTCTAAACACCTTGAGGAACTGAGAAGAAAGCGGGACGCCTTTCGCAACACTGCTGATCAGACTGAAAGAACGGAAGACGTACAAGCCTAGCGACGACAATCAGCTGTCCTTCGACATCTCCATCTCAAATATCAACTATCAGATCAGATCGTGTAAATTCAGATACGGAAATGCTCTATCAAAATCCAATCTTTTACAAACATGTCTTCCACAGGGAGCTGTCACAAGCTGCACTCTTTTCAATGTCTTCATCAATGACATAGCCGAATTGGTACAGACAGTCACGGGCATCAAGTGCTTACTTTACGCAGATGATCTGGTACTATGGTATTCCGCTCCTAAGAAAAACGCTCAGGAGAGGACAGAAAGTGCCCTAAATGGTGCATTTAAACTACTACCAAACTGGTACGACAACAATGGAATGGTAATCAACACCGCAAAAACTGCATTTCAAACCTTTTCTTTGGCCCATCACAGCATAAACCCGATTCTAAGGTACAAGGATACTACCATAGAAAAAATTAATGAGTCCACAAAGCTAACGTGGAAAAGTCACATTGCTAAAATAGCAGAACGAGTCTCCAATAGACTGAATGTACTGAAGCGTCTTGCTGGTAGCGTATGGGGCTGTGCGCGCTNAAGAAAACTATTCCCTGAGGCAAGACTAAACACTATTGCGTGTTTTGGTCTAAACACCTTGAGGAACTGNCAACACCCATTGATGCAATGCTCCTAGTTACAGGAAGCACCACAATATGTTCCCTTATCAAAGAGAAGGCCTTTATCCTGTATGATAAGCTACTGTGCATTCCCATGAATAAATTCTTCAGCACCTATGAGAATGGACCAAGACATCTGAAAACGCGATCTGGTCTAGTACAGAAAGCCATAGAACTGAAGAAAGCATTACAAATAGATGACAAGCCAAAAAGCCTCCCTCTACCCATGAACCCATTAGCAGACACTGATGTAGTGTGTTGCACCCAACTGCTTGACTTCTTCAGGAAATCAAACACCCCTCCAGAGCAAATGCGCTCACTGGCCCTTGAGACAATCAATGTCAACTATCCTGCAGATCAATGGCTCCAAGTCTTCACTGATGGGTTATACATAGAAAACCAAACAAACGTTGGTGCAGGTGTCTATTCTGAACTCTTCTCTTTCTACGCAGCAGCGGGACACAATAGAACCACTTTCTAAGGAGAAATAGAGGCCATTAGGATAGCACTATGCCAATTATGTCACCAAAGCGGTGATACTTTTGGACTCACAGTCAGCAATATACTCAATTGGAAGCAGAGAGCCACCCAAAACAGCTGAGATAAAGGAATTTAGAAAACTCTATCAGCTGCTGAGAGAGAAAAACAAAACAGTGGTCCTACAATGGATTCATGGTCACTGTGGCATTAAAGGCAATGAGATTGCTGACACACTTGCTAAGAAGGGGACGACGATTTTGCAATGCATGGACCGGGCGATGTCTTTCCACACACTGAAGACCTTAATCAGGAGAGAATTCCAGACCTCAAGGTGCAACTAACTTAAAGCTCGAACAAAGGAGAAACAGTGGACAGTGGCAATCTCCGACATACCCGACTGGCCAAGAATCGATGCTGTTGCTGAGTTTAGACTACGTACCGGACAAGATTGCTTGGCAAAACACCTTCACAGATTGGGAGTATACACTCAGCCCACATGCCCCCTATGTAGCCTACAGGAGGAAATGGAGAAGACCCACCTGATTCGGTGTCCAGCCCTAAAGACAACGACGGAAACCCAGAGATACTGGGAAACAAGAAGACAGCTAATGAATTGCTATTAATTAACTGCTATATATATACCCCTCAACCTTGGGGAAAGCTGAATTCAAAGTTTAAGGGCTAATGATAAATATCATTACCCATGGGGAAAGCTGAATTCAAAGTTTAAGGGCTAATGATAAATATCATAAAGCCTGCCATTTGAAATAAATAAATTTTTTCTGGAATTTTATTTGTAGGATGCTTGTTTCCGAAGCGCTGTCTTCTGGCTTTTATTAATTATCGTGCCAGTGATTGCTCTCACTCGTGATTTTGTCTGGAAAGCGTAAGTTAATCAAAGTAATTTTTAAATCGTTTTTTTTTCACTGGTTTGCTGTACTTCTGATTACATGTTTAGTGAGACAAATTCAGGGTCGCTGACAATGATTTGGGATATTCTAATGGAATATTGTTCCAATTCTTATAGTTGCTGCTAAAAGAACGTAGACGAAATGTGGGTATTGAAGCCAATAGGACGAAATGTGTGGTTAGAAAAATGAGTTTAGTAAGGAATATGTGATTGAGAGAAGAATCTAAAAAGCTTGTGTTTTGATATCTGGGGCTTGCAGATGTATAAAATTTTACTCAACTTAAATTTAAGGGAGGTAACGTCTATGAAATGGATATACTTCAAAGTTCCAACTTTATCGAACTCAATTTACTCTTTGGTTCATTTGATTATCAGTCTTTTTGGTAGTAAATTGTAACCTAGTTACCAATTGGGTTGCCTAATTCGGTAAAATTCAGGTTTTTTTCACGGATTGCTTAATGGTTTCGCAGAATGGGTTGTATTTGCCTAGGCGTACCTCCTCACTTGGATGTAGGCATGGAGTTTCATGCGAAAGTTTTAGTCATTCAGTCGTGGGAAGAGTAATCCAAATTAGTAATTTTGTTTTGGCAAATCTTATAGTCTATGAATGTTCCTACAGACCTCACCAAACAGAATATGTGAAGACAATGCTTTAAAGTTCAAATTGCAGGCCGAAGCCTGGTGGTCTTTGGAATGGAAAGTTGGTAAGTGGAAGAGTAGATCTCAGGAATTCTATTGTTGTTAAACAACTTGCAGGTTTGGCGATTACTCATGCTCAAATTGAAGTGAGGCCGGTTTGCTTATAAACGAATAAAGTCAATATTCACCATTATAAATATCGATGTATCTCAGTTTTTCTATAATCCTAAATTTAATTTTTAATTTTAATTTTTCTGCAAAATTGTAGGCTTCGACGAACGTACTCACAAACAATGCGTGAAAGGGTGATGATTTATGAACAAGACGGTAAAGAACCTCAAATGTATGTCAGCATTCTATTAAATCTTCTGTACAAATTCTTAATTATCGACCACAGATTTGATGAATCTTTAGAAAAGTGTAGTAGCAACATTTCTATGCCTTTGTACGATGAAAAGGTCTGATTTAAATTTTCACATCGGCTTAGACAAGCTAGTGAAGGATTTTGATGCTACCACACTTCATGTGAAGTCGGCCTTTTTTACGACTGCACCCATCTTGATCATATATATATTTCCTACCTATCTAGAAATTTATACCAAGAACACTAATAGTAGTGTCAGTAGTACAAAGGTAACGAAATTAATTGACGAGATTAAAGTGAGCTTAGCAGTCCTTCTCAAGAAATTCTTTAAGCACCTTACACTGCTCTTTAACTGCATGGTGGTTTATTTGTGATTGGCATTTTGCCTGAGTTATCCGTACAATGTAATCATTTCAAACTTCCGATTGAAATATCGCTAAAGATTCCGGATGTAAATGTTTCAAAGGAAGCTCAAGGAAGCAAGATGAAATGGAGTATGGTCCTGAATAAACTCCCCAAGATTGTCATGCCTTCGTAGTCAGTTTCGAAGTGAACCCTCTCGGAAAGACAGAGATTAGAGATCATTTTGACTGATCAAAAGATGAATGTTGTTAACTACTGGAGGGTTCCTATGAGAAGGCCTCGAACAATAAGATTGAAAAGGAACATTTATTCCGGAGAAGGTAGAGTGTACTTGCTAAGAAAGCTACATTTGCATGGGGGAACTCCTTGGTGGCTGAGCATCCAAGACTTGGTTGGAAATATTTGATGTACTAATGGGAAGGACAACCAGACTTAAGATGGTCACACAAGTATATCCCTGATAAAGGAGTAAGTCTTTAGGAATGAGAGCCCATTCACCAGAATGTTGCCCATATCTCACCTTATCCATATCACACTGACACAATATTGAAAAATTGCCATTTTTTGTAGAGCTCAGGCTATGCAGGATTTCAGTTTTCGGCCCTTTGCGCCCGTTCCTAGGGAAGAAGACCGTAAGTCACCTCGTTCGGTTTTGTATTGTCGCCTCATTGTTCGATCTATTCGTGGTGCTTGAAACATGTTTTCCCAATTTCACGTCACCTAGTTTTTCTGTCCGCATGTCAAGCAATACTCTTGACGTAGTGAAAAGTCAGCAGACATTGACTAGATTTCATCTCAATGTGTTGTAACAGCCTCGGATTAGTACATTTGGTGAGAAGGGAAGCTATTTATACTTGGGTCGCTGTGTGCGAATGCTACAACACTTTAAAATGTTCAATTCCTCATCTTGCCACTTTCTTTGTTATGTATCATGATTCGAACTAAAAATGGAGGGGGGGGGAGGAGGGCTATCTTGTGGGCTCCATTATCATTTAACTATAGAAACTAGTCGATCATGTGTGCAAATAAGGGGAATTTGGAAAAACGTAATGAATATATCTAGTGGAAAGTTCATTTTGTGGTCAAATCAAGGACTTCAGTAATGTTCTATTTCACTGGGCTATTGGGTCTGGCATCAGTAACTATTTCTGCTAAATCATTAGATAATTTGCAGCTTAAGGATATCTAGGATGGCAATTCAACTTATTGCCTAAATAAGTTGAGCCTTCAGTTGGGCTTATTATTCCTCAATGAATACCTTCCTGGTTCGTAAACTTTTTTCGAATACGAGGTTGTGAATTTCCAATTATGGAGTTTTTCTTACATATGTCGATTATCTTATCTAATTTAATTTATGATGAGCCTCGCATTGTTTACTCAAATAGGGTAAGCTCAACTTTTACTTCATCTCTTTTCATCACTCCTCAAATCTCCGTCTCATTGAAAGTGAGTTGTCATTTTGGGGTCCAAATATTAACTACGATCTGTTCAATTGCAATATATATCTGAACCGGTTTGCAAAGGGATGAAAAATTAACTCCTCGGACAAGGGTCAGACGGATGGTTAAGCGTGCAATTTATGCACCAATTTATTTGTGCACTATGAAGTTAGGATAGCAGTTGTGCGGCAGTTATATGGATTGTTTTCAAATATTACCATTCTTACCATTATTACTCCATTGTTAAACAGCGATTTCTCTAACAGTGGGAAGCAATTGATATCGAATGAAGAGGAGAGAGAGGGAGAGATCTCAAGATGAGGTAAGTTTGTGTGGTACCTAGAAGGTAAAACAGACAATGTTCCACGCTCTCGTTGTGCAGTATGCAATTTCAATTCTATAATTCCACCTTCACGATTCTTCTCTTGATTGTGACAAGTGCTTGCTGGCAATGCACTGTCCTACTGACAGTGGGTTTTTTTTAATCAAGATGAGTCGGCCTAACCTCTTCAATTACACCTTTCTTATCCAAGTTGTGGAGACAGGTTAACGTCGTTGGTTATCCTCATCTTGAGGTAGTTGAATATTTTAAGTTGGTGGTATTCCTACGATTTAAATAAACGCCCTTTTAGCTTCTCTCCTGTGGTTTGACTAAGTTTAATAATGGTTAATTTCAAAAGTACAGAGGAAGAATCATCATCATATTCTGACGAGATGTCTTAATTGGTTTAGTGATCTTTCTTTACGTACACTTTCGCATTTGTGCAAATCTTTCAAGTTCCTTGTTCAGTGATTTATTTTGTTTTTAACTGATACTTCATTGCGGCTTTTTAATGTATGACTTTTTATCTAATTTTAAATGTTTCAGATATTGTATTTCAATGGAACTTTATATTCTCCCTTTGACACGAGGTATTGCCACTTTATAACTTTAAACCAAATTCCAGATGAGATTTCCTCGATTTCGCGAGGTAGTGCTTTCATTAGAATATTTGCAATAATACGTTTGCTTAAATCGTAGACTCGGGTAAAAGCGTATTGAAATCTGGTGTATTGAGAAGTGAGTATTTCTCTCAATCTTTAAGTAGAATCATAATGAAGAAATCGTAGAGTACAGGTATAAAGTAAGAAAATACTGAAGGCCTTTTCTCAATTTGGTGATAAAGTTGTCTGTAGGATGATAGGTTTAATTTTCTCTTCCTCACGGCTTCAAGACTACTCGTCACCATCCATCCACATAAATACATATTAATACCATCTGACCATGAACTGTTATTTGTTTCTTGACACACGATTGTCGCACGATTCACAGAACTTCCACCTTGCCTGAGACTCCTGTATTATCGCGGAGACAGTGTGGCTTGCAAATGACTTACCTCCACGTGGTGCACCCTGGGTAACGTATACTCATACGGCAAAAAAGTCTATTAATCGGCAGTTGACTTCAAACTATCGGCAAAAAAGTCTATTAATCGGCAGTTGACTTCTGACTTCAAACAACTAAGACCCCATTGCATTTCATATTCGTCTAATTTCAGAGTACTCACCTCACATTTTTCTACCTTTGTGTCTGTCTGTCTCTTTTACGTCTGTGAATCATTATTCTGTTCCCCCCTCCCTCTCGACTTTTTGCCACTTTGATGTTCCTCTTCCTTTCTGTGAAGCCCGAAATCAACTAAAGGGCTAATGATAACCATCATAACGCTTGCCATTTGAAATATATATATATATATATATATATATATACACATTTTTAAATATTTTCAAACATTGCATGAAGACCACAGCTCATCAATCGAATCAGGTATTGGGCTTGTGAATTTCCCCCAAAGGATTGCAAATCTCTCCCCTCATTATCTTGAACCGAGCCGTTTATGTGTTGTGGAGTTTTGTTTTAATTCGTTTTACAATCTAATTCTTTTTTGTCGAAAGTTTGTTCCTGTTATATAATTCTCTTTGGTCTTTCTCTTATTGAAAGCGACCTACGAGTGGGTTGTTTATAAAAATAAAACTTTTTTTAAAGAACACCGAACGTTGGTACTATTGCCATTTTCAACACAGTCGTTGTTGATGATAAAATATTATAATTATTATTTCAAATGGCAGGTTTTATGATATTTATCATTGGCCCCTTAGTTGACTTCAGCTTTCCCCGCGGGATCTTTAACTTTACCAAAATATCTTGTTTGTATCTTTATATTTCTTGAAGATTTTATGACAAAAGGGCTTTTCTTTTGCTTGTGGGAATAGAACCTCACAAAGAAGTTAGCTATTTCGGAGTCGGGGGTAAGCAGTTTGCTCTTTAAGCGTATTGGTTCTTTCTTGGGTTTTTCCCTGTTGTTTTGGGATATTACCGAGGAATTCGAAAGTGCGTTGGCTATCACTTTGATAGTTGATATTTGAAATGAAGTTGTCGAAGGAAGTCCGTTTAGCTTGTAAGATGGCTTGCCTTAGAACAGCTGATTGTCGTCTCCAGGCTTTTACGCCTTCCGTTCTTCCAGTCTGATCAACAGTGTTGCGAAGGGCGTCCCGCTTTCTTTTCAATTTCTCAATGTGTTCAGACCAAGACACTCGATAGTGTTTAGTCTTGCCACGAGGAATAGTTTTCTTTGAACATCTGATCATAATATTCGTGATATCGTTGCAAAGTTAGTCAGGATGTTGGTTGAAGTTGAGGGGATATTTGTGAAGTTCATTCTCTAAAAGGTTTTGTGAATCTAGACCAGTCAGCCTTCTTGAAGTTCCATGATAGCTTAGTTGGCACTTTCATTGCCATGCTTTTGCTGCCGATGGTAATACTAGAAATGACTGGTTTGTGACCAGAACCAGGATCGTCAATTATTTTGCGGTGTGTATGCTCACTGATGTCGCTTAAAGGCATGAGCAAGTCAGTATTTGTTTTGGTTCCATTGTAGTGCAGATAATAGCAGGATCTTCATTGCTGTAACTAAGTTCCAGAGGGTTGCTGTTAAGCGTATCTTCTATTTCCTTTCTAGATATGTTTATATTTTTAGATCCCCATATTGTGGAATGGGCGTTGAAGTCTCCTTATACTACAATTTCGTATGAGATGTTCAGAGGATCAAAATTAGGACTATTCTGACGCGGATTATAGACTGCGTATATCTTGAAGTACTTTTGACATTTCCAACTATTTAATCCGGTTATTTCGCATATTTCTTTCGTCGAGCCCATACTCTAGATTAGATCGTAATGTGATGTGAGGTCTTCTTTTACTCCAGTCAGAATTCCACTTGCAACTTGCCGATATTTATGTAGAAGGTATAAGGCATAACCTTGGAATTGATAATATCTGAGTTTGTCGTCCGTAAGGTTGGCTTCCATGAGGGATCTGTAGAAGTTGTGGTTCGCCATGACGAGGGCGATTTCTCTTATAGCTCGGTTTCAACGTAATCATAATAAACTGAAGTCAAATCCAATGCCGAGTAATAGACTTTTTGCCGTATGAATATGCGTTGTCTAGGGTGCACCACGTGAAGGTAAGTCTATCGCACACCCCTGATGAAAAAAAAATATTTATTTATATCAAATAGCAGGCGTCTTGATGGTTATCATTAACCACAGAGGGGAAGGAACATCAAATTGAAAAAAGTCGAGAGGGGGGGGGGAACAGAAGAGTGTTTCAAAGATTTAAGAGACAAACACAAATGTAGAACAAAGATGAGGTGTATACTGTGGAAATAGTCGAATATGGTATAGAGTGAGGTGATGGTAGTTTGAAGTGAGACGTCAACTGCTAGTTAATAGACTTTTTTGCCATATGAATATGCGTTGTCTAGGGTGCACCACGTGAAGGTATGTCTATCGCACACTCCTGATGATAATATATAAAGGCTTGAAATAATAGAGAATGTGTTTAACTCTTTTATTTGAATACCAGAGGCACTAGCGCTGTAGCAACCCAAACATAATCGCACCAGTGAGCATTCGGCGGTTTCGGTCATCGCATTCAACATATTAAGTTTATGTGGATCGGCTTATAGCAACCGCACTAAATATCTTCTACAAGCTGTCACACTAGTGGTTCCATGAGCCTTGTATAATTGCTTCTACTAATAATAATATAGTAGAACATTTCTTTCATTTTATGTTTTATATTTTAGATGGATATGCCTTTAGTCAGTTGGAGCATGGTCGTATAACTCAGACGGAAATTATACGAGCCTGTCATTCAACGGCAGCCAAGCCAACCGGCTACTAGGCAACATGCAAGTAACAACCGGTGATGGAATTCTTCACTGCTCACTGTCTGACTGACCTCTTAGAACGTACATTTGTGTTTTGTTTTCATTGACCACATATTTTTAAACTTCAGTATTTTTCATTTACTTTTGTTAACGCTTTCCCCTAATGTTATTTATTGTCAGAACAAATTATGTTTCGAAATGTATGCAGTGGAAGATAAGAAACGACTGTTGGAGTGAACCAGAGATTGTTTCATCCTCAAGTTTCATGAGAAACTTCTTCAAATTGTATTTGATCTGTCCTTAATAAATGCTAGAATAAATGATGACCTCATTGTTAATAGGTCATAACTATTGGTTTGGAGACAGGGGGATCTTAAACGCAACTCGTGGGCAAATGTGCAATGTTCTTATCAGCTTCAACCTTGTAAATAGTTAGATCACGGAAGAAGCAACTATTCCAGTTGGTGTAGACACGCTGTGGTTATTCCTGGTTCAGCAGCATGTACAGGTAGGTTAGGCGGAGAGAATTTAGACTCATCGAGTACATCGGGCTCCAAAACCTTGGAGTTTCCTCTTTTGAAAAATGAATAGCGGGCTATTCCGTTAAGAAATATGTGTGAATGCTTTAGGAATTATGATAATTCAATTAGCAGAGTCACTAGTTGATGAAGTCTGGAAAGAGTTCTCAAGAGGAGGTAGACAAAAAGGAAACATAAAAGTTTGCGCCTGAATAACAGCGTGGAAGGTCGATTGAGTAGGAGGAATGCAAATCTGGAGATGTTAGTTGGGCTGAGAGAAATTGGAGTCTAATAGAGAAAAGGCACACATCCACACACTCAATGCAATGAGAAGAAAGTGCTTGAACTCAAACGGTGGTTGGGGATCTTAATTTCATTCAAGGGTCCTTGGACACTAATTGGTACTTTGGGCATGGAAAAGATGTTCATTAAAGAGGAGTGCATGGTTTGCTAGTTAATCTGTGACCACTCTGATTTCTGGTGGGATCAAAAGAACACTTACATGTGGTTCATTGTAGTGTCTCTTTTTTTGGAAAATAGATAGTGGACTAATGCGTTCCGAATTCGTGAACATAGAACAAGGAGACATGTTATACTTGTTGACAAAGGGAATTTTTTCACGAAAGCTTGCATTCTCCAGGAAGCTCAAAAGCGAAGCAAATGCCTTTGACCGACTTTCATAAAGTTGGGGGAATATTATTTTTAATTACAGTGGAGGGAACAAGCAAAATAAGATTTCGAGTTCGTCAAAGGAGAATATTTTACAATTATTCACAATTATGTATTGCCTTTGACACTCACAAAGACTCTTAGAGTCAAAGCGTTTATTGGGGCATTGCTTTAGAAACAACTTTGTTACAATCATGGTTTATGGAAGCCTCTGTGTTTCCACCAAAGGCAGCTTGTGGAAGACCTGAAGAGACCTGGAATACTTTTATCCATCTTCGCGACACATTGATGTCCGTTCACGTTTATGGAATAATTTTCATTTACATTGAAGTTCAACACAGTTTTCAACCTTTAAACTATCTTTACTAGTTTAGCTATGTTTAAACAATCAATGCGATTGACCAATCATTTTCGGATTTGTGGTCACGGTGCATACTTCACTTACTAACACTTCTTTAGACTTCTTCATTCACGCGACTTGTGTAGGACTTCTGTCTTCACCACTGACATCCTTCTAAGCAATGATGGTGAAGTTTATAGCGGATTGCTACATTAGTAAAGCCTTGACTGACTCAGAAGCTCCTGTAGCAGAATCTCATATATCTAACCAGATTCTCAGAACTAGCTAAGCTGCAGGCCAGCTATGAAGGAAGCAGACATATCACATGGAAGACGTTTATTCAGGATGTTTAATGTGGATAAAGTTTACACGTCGGAATCTTTGTCATAATCAACATGTCAGATCCTCTTAAACAAACAAAGGATTCTGATTGGCCATTGGTTGTACGCACATGCGATCAAACATTAAGCGATGACGTGTTCCTCAAGTTCTTGATGTTCTAAGGGATGGCACCATAGGAAGTTGGTTTCCTCTTAATGCTAGAAAAACAATGAAACAAATCTCATAGCTCTATCGTCTATTTTCTGCCTTTTGATTACCTATTCCCAAAGGTTTTCGCAAAGATGTCCATCATGCTCAAAAATACTTGAGCGATGTCGCCCCTGTCAGCTTGGTGGCTATTCAGGACACAAAGTATTATCAATCTGGCTACAATTTAATCTCCGTGCCTCAATAATAGAAAGAGGTCGTTTAAATATGCATAACTTGTACAAAATGTTGAATCAGGTTGATATTCACTTCTTATTGTAATTTTTCTGCCAGAGGCGATACCGATTGATGACTATGTAGCCTGAGATGGATCGAGTTTCGGCAGGATTACTAGTCATATGGCGACGATTGTATTCTAACTTTAAGTTTATGCGAGTTAAATAAAATGTTTTGCAGTAAAGGTGGTAATGTCCAAACTATTTGGGTTTGTCGCGGCGGTAGACTACAATTCTACATGGGCTATTTCTAGATCCCCTGAAACCGGATGTCTTGAGTACTAACGTACTACATTAATCTGGACAGACTTAGGACCAAAATGAGGCTTTCTTATACCTATAATCTGATCTATCATTCGCTCAATTCCATTCGTGTAAGCTCAGCCTGCAAATAAAATTTCGCTTAAATTGTTTGCATGCAGTCGATTTATTCAAAATGTGTACAGCAATCTCTCGTCATAAACTGTTTATTTCGCATTCACACAAAGAATTAAACTCAGTTCACTAATTTCACCTCAAATGGCAACACACAAACAGCTACAGAGGAACAACATCTAGAGGGAGGCCTAAAGCTTCAGAGTTACACGTCAACTCCAGTTATATCTGTGGATTCACTTGCGGAGACAATTCTGCTTCCTGTGTTGGAAGATAATTTCACAAGTGAATCTTGTCGTAAAGGGGAGTCCACAGTAAAGCTGCGAAACAAGATTCTACCCCCTTTTCCTCTCCCCTGAGCCGCCCTTCGAATCATTCGAATACCAGCTTGAGAAGTTGAGGTCGTGGAAGTTACTCCACGTGGTATTGGGATACTTATACTTGCATGTAATACATGTCTGCCGGAGGAAGCGGCAAGTCGGAAGTTGGAACGACGAATGGCCGTGAGAAGTGAACTCATTGATCCATCCACCGATTGGTTCTGAACGGAAATGGAGAGTATATACCAACTACAGATTGAGGCCTAAGTGAACAACACGTATTCGGACAAAGATGAGGTTACATGCAAGATTTGGCAGTATGAAGATAGAAAGGTTTCTCATAATAAAGAGATTAAAGGACTCACAATGCAATGCTAAGCTCTAGGATTTAAAATTCAGCTATATTTAATTTTTTATTTACTTTCGGACTCATGCTAAGTTTGGTTGTAAGCCACCACTTTACAATGGCAATTACCATCTTAAAAGTGGAGGAACTTTTGAATCCAGAGACCAAGAACAGCACTTCATGAGTGTATTTGACTAGAATAGTAAAAGGAAAAGAGAGGCTTGGGTGAATTTAGCAAGTAAATTATATGCGTCTGCGGAGTCGAGATGCCAACCAATTTGGAGAAAAGAGGTGGAATTTTGATTTGCATAGAGAAGTCGTTTCATCTTGAAAAAAAGAATCCATTTTGACTCAACTTTTAATGAACAGGAAATAATTAACAGTTCGTAGCGACATTACCTAGCTCTTCAGGCTACTTACTGCTAGTCAAATCCGTTGAACTCAACATCGATAACGAACTCCCGAGGGGGAATCAAGTTGCCATATATTGCAATTCACCTGGTTTCACACTTAAGATCTCTTATATTCACCTCTAGAACACTTTATTTTCATCTCCTATCTCCTTTCATCACTAACACTACTCTTTATTTTCGTATTTAAATTCTCAATTGTCTGATATACTTCACGAAGCCAAAGTAGGAACTAACTAGTTTGTCGTCTTCTTAAGCGCACTCTCCCCGTCCTCTCTCACCCTGTCTCCAGTTTTGACTTGCAACCACCGCTGACGACTTAGTTCAACAGAGCCGCATCTCTTTTTGTTTCTTATAGCCCATGTCTCCCACGTCCAATTGAATAACAACGATCTGGTTAAGATATTAGATATGCTTTGGAATCGTGAAATAGCACCTGGTTCATTACTTTACCTTGCACGAGATTTCCTCCAATGGTCTTGCCTCTCACCTTAGAACATCACCTTTCTTACTGAACAATAAGTTGCTGCTATTACTGAAGTGTTTTAAACAGTATTTTTGGCATGAACTAGTGACTAAAATAAGCAGAACACATCTAAGCCAACTCTTTCAGATTTGACCTAATGAAAGAGAAAGAAGATGAATAGCAGCAATTATAACCATTTATTGTTAAGTAGACTGGGCCCGCAAGTACTTGAAGTACTAAAAGTCATCCATCTCCAACAAAATCAATCTTTCCACTCGTAAGTAGCCAATATTCAAACACAACATCCAAAAAAAGTCAATGTTTCAGAGTAGTGATGGATAAACAACGCGCAAAAGAGCTGCACACAAGGGAATTGTCTCTTCATTATTACCGACAAGAGGGCTATCAAAAAAGTGAAGAAAATAACGTTATTTATTCTGCCATTATGTTATTACCGTAATATTGGTCTGGCAGATAGAAACTAGAAGCTATTGAAATACAAAAATCGTGCCTGATTTCAATGTTTTGTTTGTTCAATGCAGCTTGAATTCAATTGGTGAAATAGAATTTTATTTAGAAAGGAAGAGTGACAGATTTTCTTACCTGAATGAACTTCTTTAGGCACAATGACAAATTCTTAGAAACCTGATTGGGGGAAAGAATACGTCACAGGGCCATTAAAAGAACTGTTCACAGTGTTTAAGGTTACCTTGGAGCCGCTCACACGATGAGCACACTTTCTGGGACTTCTTCCATTGCCCAGAACCAACCAAGTCGATTGGTCATCACATCTTTATGTGTTCACCACAAAAGCATCGCAGACGACACAAAAGTAACGAGCACTAACAGCCTACAACATGCTTACGCACAGGACCCTACTCTAAGACATTTAAACTCACCAGTAGTAGCTAGAAGGAAAAAAAACAGAAAAAGAAGACGGGTTATTGAAATAAGCGTACGTATGTAATGTATACAGAGTACTACATATTAATTTATCAACAAAAGGTGGGCGGAAAGCAAATCATTAATGATGATTCTAACAATCAAACACCTCAAAGTTAATGCATCTGTAATCTGGTTTAATCTGTCGGGAAGTGGGTTAAGGGGGTAAGGCGTGGGGATACTGTTTACTAAGTTTGCGCGTTTCGCCATTTAAAGTGCTTAAAGGTCTTTGAGACGATCACGACTGAACCGGTCAATGGAATGATGCTGACGCAGTCGTAGGCGCCGATTTTCATGGCCATTATGGGGATGAAGGTGATGATAGGCGCCAATTCCATCCGGTTGGCTCACATGCCTCCGGAGTTGTAGTGAGTGACGTGCTAAGTTCGCGTTGGAGGTGTTGAAGCCGACACTGGAAATTCGTCGTATTGTAAAGTCCCGCACAGATTCTCGTACCTCACTATGTCGATCCAATTGCACGGTACTAAAATTCTTTACGTATGAATGAAGAATATTAACGCATGGTTAGTCTCCTTCCAGAATACATTTAATTTCCAGATCAGATCTCTAACCCATCTATTGCACCCTATCCGATGTGCTTTAAATATTTAAATGTACTCTAACTGATTTAATCAATATTGCATTCTAGAAATAACTAAGCGAACTTTATCCCAGACGTAACCTTTCAATTCTCCCAAGAATTTTGTTACTGTGGGCTTTGGAGTGAGCTAAGTAAGCAACGAATCCATCGGGTAGGGAGGCACTTGTCAATAGAGTGACAAACATCAACGTACCACGGGTCAACGTGAGGCAAGGGCATATAATCTTGTCAAGCAACACTTCCATGCTTCTGAAGACCAAGGCAGCTGTTGTAGTCAGATGGTTGCATTTTCACACTCTTTAGCGCTCGTTAGTTCAACTTTAGAACTTTTATAATGCGAAACTTTATGCTCTTCCGTTCTATAATATGCCCACAGAAAGCTAAGCTTCTTTAAGATAGCTTTTATTCTACCTAATCATGGTTGCTAATAGTTTGTCTTTGCTTTTTCTCGGCCGTACAAAATCGTTTATGCCTACTTACCATCAAAATGTCCACTCCCAAACGCCATCGTCAAAGTCGATGCACATCTCAACATCTTTATTTCTTAACCAGAAGCTTCCACCACCCATAAGTCAATGGTTCCATGACAAATAGACCGTGCTTATTCATTAATTCCTTAGAAACGATGCTTCATAACTTTCAGTAAATCATAAGGGTATGCGATAGACTTACCTCCACGTGGTGCACCCTGGGCAACGTATACTCATGCGGCAAAAAAATCTATTAACTGGCGGTTGACCTCTGACTTTAAACTACCATGACCCCACTCTATGTCATATTTGACCCCTTTCACAGTACTCATCTAGCCTTTTCTCTGCCTTTGTGTCTGTCTGTCTTTTACATATGTGAATCGCTCTTCTTTCCTCCCTGTCGAATTTTTCTCACTTTAATGTTCCTCCCTTCTGTGCAGCCCGAAGTCAGCTAAAGGGCTAATGATAACTAAGTGAAGCCCGAAGTCAGCTAAAGGGCTAATGATAACTATCGTCTACGAAGCCCGAAGTCAGCTAAAGGGCTAATGATAACTATCAAATGCCTGCCATTTATAATAAATATTTAAAAAATATATACTTATATTTGCTGTCGTGTAACCCTTCGTTGTCACATGTGGTGTTTATAGCCCATTGTAATCGGGGTCTTAGTTAATTAAAGCAGGAAAATTTCTGGAGCTTTCACTATTTCCCTGTTAGGACTTAATTAAGGTTTATCAAATTAATAAACCTACGATTTACGCATCAGTGTTCTGGACAATAGAGTTCAATATTTAGACGCCAATGATTGAGATGACTATCAAATACCCTTCGATGGGATCAAACTGAAATTTGATATCTTAAATGCGAAATATTGGATTAGGTATTGATTTAAACTCGGTACTCCTAAAAAGATTTTATCGGTATGAATATTGTGAATTTGTTTAAAAACGTATGAAAAATATCTCCAGGTCCTAAGAATATTTTTATAATTTAATGTTAGTTTGGAGACACGAGGAAAACAGCAACTTTCAAAGAAGGACTTCGCAAATACATCACACCCAACAAACATGTAAGTGAATAGATATACCTGTGTTTGAAGTCGGGAAAGCCCGCGAATCCAGAGTACTTGTCCTTGGCGGAGTTCTTTTGGTTCCTCCTCGTCCTCGCTCTCAGTGACATCATCTTCAATGTCAGAGTCGGTAGTTACCATAGGTTCATTTATTTCAGCATATTCCATAGGTGCAGATAGTTCTATGGAGGTCTCAGCTACATTTGGCTTCAGACCCTCAATGGAATTGGCATCCACGCTCTGCGCCTTAGGGTGATGAGAATCAGCAGTGGGAATACCTTCCTCCAAGTCAACTGGAGACAGCGGTGCAACACTAGCCATATCTTCGCATGCAGCAATGGAAGCTCCCACATTGGTTCGCCTTTTTCGGCGTAGATGACTTCGTTTTGTCCAGAAGCAGATGGTTGAGAGTTTGGGTACGACCCAAGAAGGCACGGAAATAAGTACCTAAAATTATCGACGAATATTCAGACAAGTAACATCAATAAAAACCTGGAGCAAAGGGTATTTTAACAGCTTTGTTTGAAATACAACTGGATATACGTATTAAGCCTTTATTACTGTATTATTTTTGGGTCAGCAAATTCCTTTGCTTAAATATTTGTTGAAATTAAAACTTTTGACATTCCTTGAGAGAGAATTTAGTCCGTATTCTACCAACTTTTTTAGGCTTCTAACTCTTTGTATTTCTGGTAAGTTAATTGCTTTTCAATTGTGGTGTTTTTTTGGTTCTCAAGGATTGTTCTTGCCTCCCGCGATAATTTGATTGCCTTGAGCCTAATTGCGGATTTTTATTGATTTTGATCGAAAATCTAAAACCACTGCTTTAATTGTTAATAACAAAGCGATTTCAATTTCCTAACAATACGAGAATCGTATTCAAGTAAATCATCCTGATACTTCTGGAGTGAAAATTCACCGCAATTCTATGAATACGGATGTCTTACGATAAAACATTTAAATTTATAGAATTTGAATCAAAGAAACGACAATAAAATTTTAATATTAAAAAGAAAAAAAATTGAGATACCCCTAGACTATTTTTTATTTGTATACCTACTTACACCTATTTAGAATAATATACTAGAGCAGCAAATGAGTTTGACAAACGATATAACTGAATAAACCCATTAATTCTAGTTCTCAAACATAGTAGGCATCTTTAATACCTGAATTAAGTATGTACAATTCCTGATAATCTTCATTAAAATATGTCAAGCTTATTATGAAATAAAGGAAAAAATTTAATTAATTTCATGAAGTTGATCTCCAAATCGAGGAATTTTAAAAGTGAATTTACAAAATTTGTATTCGAGTATTTATCATTTGAGAATAAAACGTTATTCAATAACGTAAAATAGTAAGTAACGGCTAAGGAATAAGTCTCCCGATGTTTAAAACGACGTTAACCGTATCGTCTACTTGAGTGCGACAATGAATCGAAGTGGAGTAACCGAACACTCAAGTACATCAATTGGTAAATAACTTGAGAACGTCATGAACATGAACTCCTAACAATAACTCAGGGATTAACTTATTATCATTTGGCTACGCACAATATGAGGATAATGACAACTCAGTACATCCGAAGCTCAGAAAAAATGCAACGATAGAAATTCCGAACTTAAATATTAGCAATTTGAGCTTGTTATCAATATATTTGACATACCCATTGTGAAAACAAGTATTTTTAGCCATTTGAACAAGCCTACTTTGCTACCATATGTTAGGGAATCGATATTGCTTAAAGCAATATAGGATTGCTTTAAACAAAAGTCATGTTAACTTGACTGAATCAAAAACCCGACAGCGCCTCTATACCTTGCGCAGCTAGTACGGTAAATGTGATTATACTTGTAAAATCTAGCAACAATTTATGATTTTGTGTAAAAATTATTCATACTCGATTTGTGTATGAGAAATTTTTCTTTCCATTAATTTGGCAAAATGCCCATTGCCATTATTAAGTGTGTCGAATACAATCCATGCGTACTAACATTAATGTATATTTACCTTCTCTCGGAAAGTTTATCCTCGACAATGCATAATTTTTCTAAAGACAATATATTTATCAATTAACCGCTTTAAGGGAAATAAATATTCTTTATAAAATGGGCTATATCGAAGGTTAGAGCCAAGTGATCCTATAACAAGAGAATATTAAAAAAATCATTTAATTAAGTTACTATACTAATATATTTTTAAAGTAATATCTTATTTATTTCTGTTTATTTTCTTGGACTCTTTTAAGAACAAAATAACACCTTGTGTGTAACTTGCTGGAGGTAATTTACAATAAGTGCATCAGCCTCTTATTGGAGACTAAATTTAATATTACGCTAGCTCATAATGTTTTAAAAAAATATTCGAGTTTATTAATTTAATTAAGAAGGTAATGACAAAATCCAATTCATTGCTAAAGCTGTTCATCAAGAAATTCTGTATAAATTCTTTACGTATTTCAAAACATTAGGACAAGTTAAAATTTGATGTGTAACATTTTCATAACAAAATAGTGACGTAAATGTCAAGGACACAAAGAATCTTGGAAGTTTAAATAGTCAAACTACAAATTATTAAAATTTTATATTATTAATAATTCAGATGTCTAAACAAATCGTGTAGTATTTTTCGCAGAATTCAACCTACAAAATTTCGAAAAATTTAAGTTTGCATAAGTTACATAGCTTAGGCTCTTACAGTTGACACATATTCTCATAGTCAATATTGAATTACGAATTTGCAAGTACTTTTTATTTATTTACCTAACACTAGCTCCATCATCAAATTTGAGAAAGATGATGGTTAATTTGTCATGAGTCGTATGTTTAAATCGTTGGTTTTTCATTTTCCACTCAATTACCTGTGTGGTGTCTATGTGTCTGCTTCCGATTCTTAAAAGAAGTGATGAATAAATCCCCAATTAACTGGGCTAATTCAATGGGTCAAAGAGCCAATTAACGCTCACATGTGCACACTCAAGAATACAAAGGTGATATGACTGAACTTTAGCTTCAGTATATTATTCGAGACCCTAGGCATTAAAGAGTATAGAGTGGAACCCAGAATTCATACTCTAATTCTGATCGAAGTCTCCTTTTCCCCTAAGTTGATTACAACTACTGTAGATGCGTTTATTAAAAGCCTATTCAAGTTATCCAAAATGGTTAAGAGAAATAGTAACTAACTAGTCTCTATTTAGGTGCCAACCTCTACGTTAAGAAGCCACACAAACTAAACACATGACTTCATCCTTGGTATAATCAAAATGAATATTAACCTAAACTAATATATTTTTAATTAGACTAATGATAAAAAATTTGAAGTAATTATTGCATACCTGCCCCCATATAAGTGTCCCAAGTCCGAAGAAAATGCACCACAACCATTGTTCAACATCCAGAGGCATTGTGCTTAATGCGACACCACCGAATTGGACGATGATAACCTAAGTCAAATTTGTAAATAAGCAAAAATAATATGATTCATGAATGGTATTAAAGTAGAAAATAAAGTACGCATGTCTTGATCAATAACATTCCTCAAAATGCAAGCACTTTCCTCGAAAATATTATCATTATATCAAATGGCAGGCGTTTTGATTGTTATCATTAGCCCTTAAGTTGACTTCAGTCTTCACAGAGGGGAAGGAACATCAAAGTGTAAAAAATTCAAGAAGGGGGGGGGGGAGGAACAGAAGAGTGTATCAAAGACGAAGGTAGATAAGGTGGAAAAAAGGTGGATGAGTACTGTGGAAGTAGTCGAATATGAATCGCAGTGGGGTCTTAGTTGTTTATGAGTATACGTTGCCCATTGTGCACCAAGTGAAAGTAAGCCTATCATACACCCCTTCCTCGAAAATAGCATTTATACAAAGTGTTGCATTAACTAAGTGTCACATCAATTTTATTGTTATTTATTTTATTTGGAAATACAAATAAATGAGGAAAACATGATCAACCACGCATCAGTGAACATAACCTTATATGAGTAGGTGTGAGCCAATTTTGACTTCTCCTTTCTTTAACAACAAAATTAACGATTGCTCAATGCTTCAAATTATAAGCAAACTTTGACTGATATTGAGCAGACTTCACTACGAGCTTATTTTTATTCATTAAGGTATTTTGTGCATTAATTCATACGTTATTTTCCTAACATAGAAGCTATTTCATAATTTCAGCTAGAAAAAAATATTTGCCCCTGCCACGAGCAATTTAAATAACAAAATCGATTAGCATATCCAAGTAAATTTTAACCTTTAGTAAAAGTTAAATTTTAGGTATAAACAGAGTAACTTGACTTTTGGGTGAAACATGATTGAACTAATAGCGTAAAACAGCTTTTTCTTCTTCAAATAAAACGAGAAGCGGCAATTAATGCTGCACTTTGCATTTTCATTGGCAACAAAATAACTTGTTTCCACTCTGTTGCTGTAATGCACCAACAATCATAATATTCCAACCTAAAGCCTTAATGGTGATTTTGCGATTAGCTTAATGACAAAATGTAACGAGAATGTTAAATGTCCTTCGAGAATCCTCACCAAATACAGCTCTTTTGGAGTTGATTTTACATTTGGATTAGCTGCTGTAACTCAAGGATATAAGATGAAAATGTGAACCGCTTTCGTTCAAAATATTATATTAAGTCAGGGGGTGTGCGATGGACTTCCCTCCACGTGGTGCACCCTGGGCAATGTATACTCATACAGCTAAAAGTCTATTAATTCAAACCATCATCACCTCACTATGTCCATAGTACTCACCTCACTTTTTTTCTACCTTTGTGTCTGTCTCTTTTACATCTTTGAAACACTTTTCTGCTCCCCCCCTCTCTCGAATTTTTTCAATTTGATGCACCTTCCTCTCCGTGAAGCCTGAAGTCAACTAAAGGGCCTGCCATTTGATATAAATAAATATATATTTAGTCAATATTAAAGATAGCACGGAATAATGGTGAATAAAGTACTTGTTTTCGAAGGAGACCAAGTTGATTATTATTTTGTGTGTTCCTGTAAGATTTTAATTTAAGAACACACACACAGAGAGAAGGCGGTTGTAATACATGTAAGTATTAGAAAAAACCGATAAAAGTTTTATTATTGAAATAATTATATTTGCATAGCAGTAGTTAGATAGTCTGTGCTTTGTTCCGTGCTTAAAAGTCTGCATGATTCGCTTGCATTTGTCTGCCAGAACAACTGATCTCAGGATACCACAGCATAGCAGCAAGTTGGAGCTTACAGAAATTCGGATGAACAATACAGTTTACCAATAAAATACAGCTTTCTTACGTATTAGTGACATGGTGTTTAAAACGCATGTCTGCAAAACCAGAGACTGGGGGGGGGGGGTTGATGTTAATTGGCGCACACACACTGTGAACGGAATGGTGTCCAGCACAATTTAAGTCTGGCTACCAAATTGACACTGATACAGATCCTGCTTCTCATCTAGGAGGGGCGCGCTGGGTGTGCCCCATAACAATACCCCCCCCCCTCCCCACCCCCAACCAAAGTTGAGTGATTATTATCCTAGATGCTCTTGGAACTTATTACTATTGGGTTGGCAACTAAGTCATTGCCGTTTTTGTTGACAGATTTACTCTATACTTTCTTTTGTTTTGTTAACGTGGCCAGAGCATCTAACCTATATTTTTTTCTTACTGTATGGGCTTCTAGGTTAATTAGTAAAAAATTTTTTTGTTTAGTTCTTTAGTTTTGTTTTTATCCCAATTTAAAAATGAAAGAACAGGACGTGCACTTCCGACACATTTTATTGCAATACTTCCGAAAAGGCAAGAACGCATCGCAAGCACAAAAGAAGTTATGTGCCGTATATGGAGATGAAGCCGTGAGGAAGAAAGGCAGTGTCGAAATTGGTTTGAAAGATTTCGTTCCGGTGATTTTTCACTGAAAAATTCACAACGATCTGGCCGCCCAGTCGAAGAGGATGAAACCCATATCAAGGCCATTATCGATTCAAATCGTCACAGCACAACACGAGATATTGCAGAGAAGCTGCTCAATGTGTCGGATACATGCATTGAAAAAGATTAAAAACCCTTGGTTCTGTCAAGAAACTTGATTTATGGATCCCTCACCAGTTAAAGGAAATTCATTTGACGCAACGGATTAGCATCTGTGATTCGCCGCTACTGAAACGCAATGAGAATGATCCACTTCTGAAGAACCCAGTTACTGGCGACGAAAAGTGGATAGTTTATAACAATGTTACTCGCAAGAGATCATGGGTGAAGCAAGATCAACCAGCCCAAACAGTATCAATAGCAGCAGAGATTCACCACAAAAAGATTATGCTGTCAGTGTGGTGGGATCACAAAGGAATTTTGTATTTTGAACTCATGCCGCAGAACCAAACGATAAATTCAAATGTGTATGTTGAAGAACTCGAAAAACTGAAGGATGCAATTGAAGATAAGCGGCCGGCATTATCAAATCGGCGGAAGGGTGTTGTTTTCCATCATGATAACGCAAGGCCCCACACATCTTTGGTTACTCGGCAAAAATTATTGGAACTGGGTTGGGATGTTTTGTCACACCCACCATATAGCCCTGACTTTGCGCCTTCGGATTACCATTTGTTTCGTTCCATGCAAAACTCTTTAAATGGTAAAATTTTTAACAACGCGGATGATGTCGGATCACACCTAATTCAGTTTTTTAATAGCAAAGACCAGACATTTTACGAACGGGGAATTTTTACTCTGCCAGAACGATGGAAAAGGTCATCGACAAGAACGGCCAATATCTAATTGAATAAAGTTATATTTTTAAACAAAAATTCCGAATTTGCCTTCTTATTTGAAATCGGCAATGACTTAGTTGCCAACCTAATAGTAGTATAACGGTCCTATACCCATGTAGAGCACGAGGACAATGAATTCATTGAAAATGAGCACATAACGAGTTCTTTTTAACGAAACAACGCAGAGTTATAGCACAGTATAGTAACCTATCAGATTTAGATTTAAACACTCTGCTTGATCCAACGCAGAGAGAAAAAGGATGGAGAAAATATATTCTAGTGATCATGTTTAAGACTAAATAGTCAACTATTCAAAACAAATGGAAGGATAGTATTTAGACATAGTGTGCTTTAAGATAAGGAGGAATTTCGACTAATTGGTAGAATATTTAATAGTAAGGGATTGTGGGACACGTTATCGATTTGTGCGTCATCGTATGCCTGCATGTCTGCTCGCCAGGATTAGGAGGTGCGGCCGTACAACTCTGTGTGCAGCGACCTTACAAACAGTGACCAATCATCAACCTCTGTTTAACCTAATCCCCCATCCTGATCATGAGTAGCTCCATGCGTGTCACACTTTATCCGCAATATACGTCTGTTTCCTTTCATAGCTGGGCTATAAACAGTGACCAATCATCAACCTCTGTCGCAATATACGTCTGTTTCCTTTCATAGCTGGGCTATAGCTTAGC